TAGCTTAGTCCATTAGGTAGAGATAATGCATAGTGGAAGGAATAGATAAAACTTGAATTACTATATTTACGATCTCTCATTTTTATAATTTATATTTTAAAAGAAGAGATTAGTGACTATTTTTGTTTTATTAACCTCTTAATATTTGAAAGTCACATTCACTACACCATAATTACCATTTAGCTACGTTATTTTTTTCTTTTTACCTACTCTCATAATTTTGTAGATATAAATATCTATACTTATAGTTTATTAATTTGTATGTATATAATTTAAATATATCTACATATTTATAAAAACTGTAGGAAATGAAAAACTTTATCTATGAAAATAAGTTAACATAAGTACAAAAAAAAAATTTATACCTACAATCATAATGAATTATAAAAATAGCAATAATCTATACTTATTACTATCAAAATCCATAGCGCTATAGATCATTAAAGATAATTTAACTTCATAAATCTACACTAAAATTTTTAAATTACCATTTGTTAACCCTTTGGAAAAAAAAAAAACAGAATCTTATGTTGGTCTCCAAAAAAACCAACTACAAATTCATGAGAGAAGCAAAATGGGGAAAAAAAAAATTAACTACTATAGTTAAAAGTACACTTAAAATTGTGAACAAAACCAACGATTAAAAAAAAAAAAAACCAACAACAAATTGAAAACAAAAAAGGAACCATTCTCTTCGAATCCCTACGAGAATCAATAGCAAACAAGAACACCAACAATTGAATTGAAAGGGAAAATTGAAATTCAATCAGTACCCCATCCTGTCTCTCCACCTTGGTGATTTCGTAGGCTGTAGTTGCTTCACCACAATAACAATATGTTAATTCCAAACTCATGCAGTAGTTTAAGATAAACTCTAAATCGATAGCTAACCTCTTAACTTTGGTTCTTGTGGATTATTGTAATTTTTACCTTATTGGATATCGGGAGGGTTTTTCATAGTTGTTCCAACTTGAGGACACTAAAAAGCAAGTAGGAACCCACTCGTATATAACAATTTGAGAATTTGAATCTCCCTATAAAATTTTGGATAAATTTAAGAGTTTTGGGTAGTTTAAATAAGATGGTGAGATAGGATAAATAAGAGGGTAAGAGAAGGGTGGGAACTAGGAAGTGAAATGATTTGGTTATATATGTGCTTATATATGATTATTGTGGTTAATTAAGAATAGTCATGTGTTATACATATATATTTGGAAGTGACATGATTGTTAGAATTTTAGAGTACCTCTTGCACTCCAAATATTAATAAAAATCAACTTTTATTGTTTAAAATAAATTAATAATCATAATTTTAATACAAGTATATAATATATTTTTTTAAGTTTACTTGAATAAGTTTACTTGAATAAGTTCTTTTTTTTTTTTTGTTTTTATTTGATAGATATTTTATTATT